AGTGGGCCCGAAGACATTCAGTTCGTCATTTTTAGCCATAATAAAGTTTGTATATGATCGTGAGGAATGTCTTCGGATGAAGTTATGTAGTGTCATTGTTGCAACCACAATATGCACCTGTTTTCGAAATGGAAATGACGACATATCACGTAGGATGACACATTTCTTCTTCCAAACCCCAAACGTTCTTTCAATTACCCCATGTAAAGAGGAGTGACGTTTGTTAAACATTTCTTTCCTACCACGAATAATGTCAGTTGCTCGCTCAAAATCATAACCATGATACCTAATGTCTGGATATAGCTTCAGATAGCCCCTCTGCATAGGGTATTCAACATCAACCAAATAGTATTTTTTTGTTATGGAAGATATTATTATTTGCAATAAATACCTATAACTTGAAATTTTATAAATCAAAACATACCTGAAAGCAGATGAGGAAAACTCTGCGATCTATTCCTCGTAGCATAAGAGAAACTTCGACTATCATGTGCACTCCCTTCTCAGCCTGCCATAACATCTGTGAAACACATGTTGAAGTCACATACCACCATAACATTTTGAGTAGTTGAACCACTTCGACCAATGTAAGCCACCTTGTCCTGGCTGAGTATTCGGGCATCAACGTGAGTACCGTCAATTGCACCTATGCAGTTCTGTTTTATAAGGTTAAAAAAAGATTTATATTTTGATATGAAAGTAAATAAAAGAATGATTACTTTAAAGTAAGGGATGTAACGAGGATCGACTGGGATTTGTCCTGGAGTATTAGCAAATGATGGATCATCTGGCCTGATGATTTTAGCGGCTAAGCTAACAAGCTAAGCTAACAAGAGCTAACAAGTGTCTGTATGCCTTTGGAAAAATAACGAGTTATTGTCTCCGATGAATGATGAAATATCTCCATAACACCCCTAATTGATTCATTCTGTGACAAAATATATAGTGTTATAGCCAATACCTCCCTTCTAGTCGTTCTCGAAGAACCTTGGAGTCTGTGATTCAGGGATAACTCGTGCAGGAGATTCATAAAGATCGGTATTGTCATTCAAAATATGTTACTGAACCTAATAGGATTTCCAAAAAGCATTTCGCTTACCCATTTATCCCCAACAAAGCTGGAGGTCATTCGGGGTATACGAACACTGCTTGATCAGTAATCCTCCAACAGTAATATGACAATAGCTGCAGCTCATGCCATTCTCTTATGACGTTCATGTTGTGGATCCATCCTAAAGGAAGAAAGATCTCGGTTAGTTCATCAATTATTAATCAATACAGCGTGCGAGAAATAAATAATGAGAACACTCAGCTAGTTGAAATCAAAAAAATGTAGAGCTCTACTAATATGCATTCTGGAATCAAGTAAAAGTACATTTAAAAAAAACACAACTCCAAATAACAGCTGAGTTCATAACTTCAAAGTGTACATAATACATTTCTTGAAAACACAAAAACTCAATCATCCACAATAACACGTCAATATTTGAATCGTAACTCTGGTTCCATCGCCATAAATATGTGCCTACATGTTGGATCCTCAAGTTTTTTCGCCTACGAAATATGTGCCTACATGTTGGATCCTCAAGTTTTTTCATACATATTGCATGAAAGTGCTTATCCGATACTACTTCAGGGATGGTAGACAAAGTTCAAAGACAATTGAAGATAGTGCGAAGATAGTGCTGTCAGGAAGTGGAGCGGCGGTGGTGCTCCAAAAGAATCTATGAGTCTTTCAAATGAAGTTTTCACAAAAGTGTTTCTTTCTTTCTTCTGCCTAGCCTGGGCCTCTTCATATGTGAGCTTGATTCCCCCATCTCCCTCTGGTTAACACTGTGTATTTCTTCTTCAACTTCCACCGGCTCTGGTGGAAAATCATCGGGTATTCCTGTAAACCCTGCATTCCTGTAAACCCCGTCTCACTAGGGGTGAATGCATGCTTTCCTGTTGCCACAACCCCCTTGAACATTATGTCAAGTTTATCTTTAATATCCGACTCAATTCCGCTCTGCTTGTATTTTTTTGCTGTCGACATTGCCTATAACATTAAAATTTGGAGGGGGTTAGGGGGATAATTGTTTAAATTGAAAATATATGTAATAAATAAATAAATAATGAGAAATTTACCTCTAATTTCTCGGCCCACCATTCATCTGAAACATCAATTGTCCGTTTGATTGGATCCCAGCCCAACCCCATGGATCCACGTTTCAGCTCCTTCCAACTTTTTCACTCCTTCAATTGATCCCTTTTATTTTTAAACTTCAGCCTGTCATAATCTCATGTCATAATCCCTTTTAGCTATATTTTGCCAACCTTCCTTATTGAAATAGGTGGTGGCCTATTCACGATCTCAATCTCAGTGATGCAGATGTTGCAAAAAATATTTGTAACTTCCTTATCCCACATCGTTGAGGGACCACCTTCATTTGTCTTAGCCATTGTGGAATTATATGAAGAATTGCATATTGCATAAAGAAATTGATATTGTAACTCAACAAGCATAAGAAAATTCTCCAAATTAACCAACAAGAGATGAAAGGCATAGACATCTTAAAAAAAACCTATATACACATAATGAACATATATCCACAAGTGATCCAACTGAAGTTACATCCACAAGAGATGAAAGATGTCTATGCCTTCATAAAAAAAAAAAAAAAATGAAATAAAAAAATGCACCAAAAAAATGAAAGATCAACAAATGAACCAACAATAGTGTCCAAATTTGCTCATAAAAAAAATAAAAAAATAACACAAAGGAATTATGTGGTTCTGTCAAAGACCTACATCCACAGTAATGCATCGAACATATTTTATTTTCCAATTATGAAAGATTACATAGCTATAATTCTCAATGAAGAACACTACAACTAAAGTACATGTGTAACAATAAAGCAATACACATCTTATATTTGATATGCAACTTCTCATACATGTCGTGGAATCCAATTCCACTGAAGCAATTGCCGAATTACCATAATGCATTTCCATTATCTAAGATGCTCATATCGACAGTCATTATCATCACCATAATGAGTGTTGCAAACCGAAGCTCTAAATACCAATATAACTCGTAGCTCTAAAATATAAGCAATGTATTTCCTCTCTACCCTCAACATCAAAGGAAGCTTGAAAACCCCATAAAAATATACCAACACCCCATAAAAATATAAACCCCATAAAAATATACCAACCCGATGCTCTAAATGGCCTAAATAGTGAATAGTATTTGCATTGCATAAAAATTTCCCCATCATTTGCTAAATAGTGAATAGTATTTGTATTGCAAATGAACTTGCAGATATTATTTCTTCTCCACAACCATTTTAATGAAACAAAAACTGCATCCAACATTTTCTATCTAATGTCATAACCATTTTAATGAATCAATATATATAGTAAACAATGAAACAAAAACTACACCTATCCAAAATTCCATAAAAACACCCATCCAACAATTCATAAATATGTAATGCCCAAATTTTGTTGCGGATATAGCATTTTAACGAAATTCCATAAAAACACCCATAAAAAATTCCATAACAACGCCCATCCAAAATTCAATAAGAACCATTTTAACGAAATATGTAATGCCCAAACTTTCATCCAAATTTCAGATCTAGCAAAAAGTGAAAAAAAACTGCATCCAACATGAGGCCGAAAGCACAAGTGAAACAAAAACCGCATCCATATTTCAGATCTAGCAAAAACAGAGAAGGGTCGAAAGCTTTGAAACAAAAC